GCGTGCAGGAGGCGGCCGATCCATGATTCTCTCTCATCATGGATGTTTCTCTCTCTCTCTCCTCCCTTCCTCTCTAAAATCAATAAAGAAATATATATATTTTTTAAAAAAACCAATAGATAGAAGCATAACCAACGGACGCAGACAACAGAGGGTGAAGGTGACGGCCGGATTGGGGGGGTGGTGTGGGGGCAATAGGGCGGGTAACCACACATGTGTAATACCTTAATCAATTAAAAAAAAAATCAATGGGAAAATATCCTTGGGTGAGGATTGACCAAAAAGAAAAAAATCACACCAATAAATAAACAAACAAACAAATAAATAAGTAAATAAAATAGGAAACAACTTGAAAATGTAGGGGAAAAAAGTGCCCAGTGATCAAAACCACGGAAGCCTCCAGAAACAGGGTACGTTCGTTCGACGTGCAACCTTGGCTGCCCTGTCCTCTCCCCTCCCCGCCCCCACCTCGCTGAGTCATCTGCTGTCGAGAGGGTAGGAGGGGCCATTTCTCTCTCCGCCAGACTCCCACGGGGCCCAGGTCTCCCCTCTCTCTCTCTCTCCTCACCGACCTTGAAAACTCAAGGTCAGGCAGCCAGCTGGCGGTGGCAGACGTGACCATCACAGCTTCCCCCTTTTTTTTTTTTTTTTTTTATGAGCTGGAGCGCTCCAGTCAACAGCTCTTTGGAAAATGTGTCGCCTCTGTCTTGCACGCCCGGGAGGCAAGAACGAACTTTTAGCTGTTAGATGCGTTCCCGCTATTTGTTAAAAAAAATACAAATAAATAAAAAACACACAAAAACATGAAGGAAGCTCCCAGCGTTCCAGCCACCTGCCACCATTTCAACCCTGGAACAGAAAATATTTACATCCGCCCCGACCGGTGTGGCTCAGTAGATAGAGCGTCGGCCTGCGGATGGAAGGGTCCCGGGTTCGATTCCCGGTCGAGGGCATGGACCTTGGTTGTGGGCACATCCCCAGTGGGGGGTGTGCAGGAGGCAGCCGATCGATGTTTCTCCCTCATCGATGTTTCTAACTCTCTATCCCTCTGCAAAAAAAATCAATAAAATATATTTAAAAAAAGAAAAAAAAAGATTTACATCCTAGAATCGTGGGCGCCAACATCGAGGCGTGCAGACGGCTGCCACAAAGGACTGGAGTGGCCTATTCCACGTCTGAGGGCGTCACCTTTATTATCCAATAAGCGTCCCCGACCTGAGTCAGCGCGGAAAACAATGGCAACGCAATAGCAGAAAAATAATTTCAACGCGATAGGAGCGTCGGCTGATTCTCTCTGAGCGATCCCTGGTGACTGGTGATTGCATAGGGCAGAGTCCGGCCGGTGTGGCTCAGGGGTTGAGCATCGACCTCGGAACCTGGAGGTCACGGTTCGATTCCCCGTCAGGGCAGACGCCTAGGTTGTACCCTCGATCCCCAGTAGGAGGCAGCCGATCTATGATTCTCTCTCATTATTGATGTTTCTCTCTCTCTCTCTCTCTCACTTCCTCTCCCTAAAAATCAATAAACACACATATATATTTTTAAAAAAACACAAAACACATGACCAGCCGGATTTGGCTCGGTGGTTGGGCAGGGATCCAGCGACCAGGAGGTCACGGGTTCAATTCCGGTCATGCCCCGGTTATACCCTCGATCCCCAGTAGGGGGCGAGCAGGAGGCAGCCGATCCATGATTCTCTCTCCTCACTGATATGTCTCTCGCTCCCTCTCTCTTTAAAAATCAATAAAAACATTAAAAAAATAAAACCCAAAACATGGATCGCCCTGGAAACCCAGTCTCGTCTCTAAGGCCCGTCCGTCCGTCACGGGCGTTTGTTCTTAACCTGCCCCTCACTCTGGCGGGCGGCTGGCGGACGCAGGTCGATGTGCCCACATGTCACAGACCCCATGTGCCCAAAGGCTGACAGCCGGGATGGCTTCCCCCGACAGGTCTGCAATCCGTGGGGCCCCATCCTGCCTTCGCACAGCCGCGTCCGGCTTATAAAATACAGTCAAGGGATCTGACGAGGGAAGAGGTTTGTCAACGTGCAGACACCGGGGCCTCCGCTGGGGTCAGGGCGTTCGTTTAGTGTCACAGCTAGAATCCTATACAGTAAAAGCCTAATGCGCTAAGGGTCTGGTCGTTCGTTAACCAAAGCGTGATATGCTAATGATATGCTAATGGTATGCTAATGGTATGCTAAGGAGCTCAACTGCTCACTATGACATGCACTGACCACCAGGGGCCAGACGCTCCTACTGGGTAGGGCCATGGGACTGGGGACCATGGGGCTGGGACTGGGGGGTGTCATAGGACTGGGGGGGCATGGGACTGGGCGGTGTCATGGGACTGGGGGACCATAGAGTTTGAAGGGTCATGGGGCTGGGAGGCCATCGGGCAGGGGAGGGCCAAAGGGCCAAAGGACCATGGGAC